CCTCCTACTCCTCCTCCTCCTCCTGTACCTGCGTCGTCCTCCATGCAGGTATACTCTTCGAATGATTCCTCCGCTTGGCTCCCGGTCATGGGAAAGCCCAGGTCGACACTCCAATTGGCTACTTGTGCATAGTTTTCGAGGGCACCCTGTAATATCTGGTTAGCCCGTTTTCCCTCTTCTTCTTCTCTTGCCTGCTCCTCTTCCGTCTTCCCTTCCTCCTCTTACGCGTATATCCCACCCGTAGTGTTGCACTTGCACTTACCCAGTCGAGATTGGCCATCAAGTCGGGCATCGCGCCCTGCCCGCTGTCAATGTTGAGTATGGAAAACGGCGACGCGGATCCCGCCATGGCGGCGTCCACGTCTCCTCTTCCTCCCCCCCATCCCGCACCGCCATCGCCCGTCAGGTCAAACTGATGAGTCGACGGTGACGTGCCCAGGTCCATCCCCATGAAGGGGCCGCTGTCCAGGCCGGGTGGCGGTGCTGGTCCCATGCTGCCGTCGTCGTCGACCTTGCTCATGTCGGGTAGGAACCCTGACGGACCCACCGAGATGGGGGCGGCGCTGCCAGCCGACGTGTCGCCACCGAATCGCGCTCCCGGGGGGTTCGGTGCCGAGGCGGCGGGACTGTCCATGTCCATGTGCCGGTGGAGGCTGTCGTAGGCGGTCGCCGGCTTCTTGATCTTGCCAAGCATCAGCTGGGTGACCTTGGAGGCCTTCAGGGCGTCCATGGACGATTCTTCTAGGCTGGCCCAGATGTCCTGGACCTTTTCTAGCAGGTCAATCATCTGCTTCCTCTGCTCTGGGTTCCAGGCGAAGCTGCCCTCATCCGCCGGCGGCGGCGGCGGCTGCTGCTGCTGCTGCTGCTGCTGCTGCTGCTTCTGCATCCACATGTTGTCGTGGTGCAGCTCGAGTATGAGCAGTATGGCCGCCATGGTGAAGTCGTTGGTCGCAATCGACCTCACGTACCACTTGACCGACTCCAGCTTGCCGCCGGGCCTGGCCTCGTGGTGCATCGTCACCAGATGATTCAGCGCGCGCATCGACGCGTCGACGGCGCTGCGGCGCGAGTGCGCATACCGAGGGTTTAGTCGCGCTCGGGGCAGGTACCTGCGGTGCAGCAGGCACAGAATCCTCTGGGCCAGGTTGTCCACGTTGAAGCGCGCCAGCAGCAGCGTCACCGGCTCCTCGGAGCCCTCCGTCGCCGTGAGCTTCAGGTGCGGTGGGAGCTCCCGCATGATCTGCCGGATCCTGGCGTCGAATCGGATGATTTCATCGTAGCTGACATGCTTGGCGATGCCGTTGAGCGCTTGCAGTATGTTTCCCAGCTCGTTACAGAGCCGCGACTTGGCGATCATGTATGACAGCGGTGTTGCCTCCGTCGCCGGTCTCGACGGCGGCAGCTCCTTGATGTCTGGGTAGAACTCGGCGTCGTATATGTTGTTGGGCAGCTGCGTATCGCAATCGTTTTCGTTGATCATGTTGGGGAGCGACACCTGGTGCGAAAAGATGACGTCGGACATTCTTAGCAACGCCCAAGTTCTACGTCTCATTTCCTGTTCTCGGGTGTCAGCTTCGCATCTCTCCTCTCCTTTCTCTCCCATCTCTGTCTGTCCCTCCCTTCTGCTGTGACGCCTTCAGGTGACGATGACAAGTAGTGTGTGGCTCTCGGTAGAGAGAGGTTCGACGTACCGCTTGAAAGGGCGTGATGGACGGGAACCACTTGGCATCACGGTGATAGCCCATGCGGAAGGCCGTCCGAGTAGTGAGCGCCATGACCATCCACAGGCCAATGTCGGCATCCCAGCGGGTCGAGTGCTCGCCAAAGGTATAGAGGATGAGCGTCTCGACCGTATACTCTACGGGCTTGGTGTAGTCGGCGCGGACGAGGCACTGGACGGTACGCAGCCGGAACAGGGAGGCCATCTCGAGAGCTTGACCCCTCCACTGGGGGAGCTCGTCGCCGGCCTTGTGGTAGCTGAGCATGGCGAGCGTCAGGATGGAGTAGAGCAGCCCGAGCCACATGACGGGCGTCCTGGTGGGCTCCTGCCAGTGGGCGCGTAGCTTCTGCTGGAAGGTGGGACGGTGCAGGATACTGACGGCGTTGTCCATCGAGTTGAAGAAGCGGTTGCACAGCGTGGCCACGTCGGACCGCGAGGGTAGCCCGTTGCGCAGCTCTGCCTCGGAAGCCGGGGCAGCACCCAAGAGCAGCGTCGGGCCCCCACGCACGTCGACCGGCTTCGACGACTGCATGCGCTCGAAGCTCGCCTCGAGCTCCTTCTTGTGATTGGTGAAATACGTCTTCACCTCGGTGATCTCGGCCAGGATGCTGTGCCAGTGCTCCTGCCCCATGTACATGGACTTGCCCTTGTCGACGTCCACCTTGAGCGTGCCCAGGGACGAGATGAGCCCGTAGTCGTCGTCGCTCCCGTCATCGTGCGTGACGGCCCTGTCGTCACGGGCACCACCCGCCCTGATCGACGAGCTGCCGCTGTCGGTGATTGACCGCGACGTCGGCTGCCGCCCACGGTTATTATTACCACTGTTGCTGTTGCTGTTGCTACGGGTGGCGGTAGCTGCTGTGACTGCGGCTGCCGTGTCGGCGTCCACATTGCCGCCATTGTGCATGAGCGACAGCACCAGGCCCTCAAGCCGATCGATGCGGTTCTGCATGTCATCCGGACTCAACTCGCCCTGCGAACGACCCTTTTTGCGATTCACCGGCGTCGCGTACGAGCACGACGACGTGTCCGCGCCCTCGCGCCTCGTACAGTTGCTGCATGGATGGCTCCTGTCGCACTTGAGTTTGCGCGTGCGGCATGGGTAGCAGCTGAGCGGGACACGATTCCTCTTGCGCACAACGCGATACTGCTCCTCGGGCGAGCGACCGGTCGTCGATGAGTTGGTCGATGGTGGGGTCGGCGTCATTGTGGCGGGTTGATAGAGTTCGGTAGCTTTACGCACGGCATGCGGGGATGCGGGAGGGATTTGATTCCCGCCTGATTACGATCCTCGCCGTTTTGAGAGTGAAGAGGCCGGTGAGGAAGCAGAAAGCTGTGGCCAAACGGCGACGTGGCCTGCAACGGGGCGTAGAGCCCTCTCCCGTGGCGGGCCCTCTGCGCAGATGCCTTCAGCAACGGCGCGGTACTGGATATACTTCCCCAGCTTCGGCGACTGCGCCAATACCGATGCCGAGGCCAGCTAGCGACTTCCTGGCGGTACAATCTCGTAGGGTGCGGACGCCCGAATGCGGCGAAAGCGGGGGAGAGTGAGGTCGCGAACCAGGCAGCCTGGCAAGGTGGACAGGATCGAGAAGGTGGACAAGTAGGCGGCAATGGCGACACGCACTCTCACTCACTCACTCACACTCATACACTCACACACACGACAAGCGAATCTCTCACAAGTGTGTGGAGGTTTTCCAGGAGATAGTGGAAGAGGGAAAGGGTAAGGTTGTGGTGGTAGTGGTGGTATGTAGCGGTGGTGGTGTACGATGAGGGGATCCGGGACAAATGCCGACTGTCGGCCTCCGCGCCTCTCCAACTCTTCACCGACGACGATTATTAAGGATAGGCTGTAGGGAGGACAGGTTGACTTCCTCTAGCTATTCGTAGTGGTACTGCCAAACGGTAGAATGTTCTCTAGGGCAAACAATAATAACCATACAGGCCGGATAGTTGTATTTATGCAGGCATAATAGTGAAGATGGATCACGGAGCATGACTGCAGCTTACGCCCCCCCCCCCCCCCCCCCCCCAATCCATCCCATCCATCCAATCTCACGAATGTACCTTCCTTGTTATCTACTTTGGTCTCTATGTCCACGATCTTCCCCTTTCTCTCTTTACCCTCCTTCTTTCTCTTCGTCGTCCAGTGACTCTGTACTGTTCGTTCTCGCTATCATCGTTGCCTAGAGGCACGGACTTAAGCAATCTATACTCCGGAGCGTGACGTCTGAAAAGGCGAGCATAGTATTACGGTCTACCACCACTGGCACCAGTACTATTACTTCGTCTCATCAATACTACGAGTACTACTCAGTGCCCATACTCGTACCGTTGTTTTTGTCTTTGAAAAAAGTACGAGGAATACTGCAGAGCAATTATTACTGCATATATTACTGACCTCATTACCGGCCTCATGCAGGCTGCTATAGGGTGACGCCAGTGAGACTGTGACTCATAGACAATCCAACTCTTGACAACGGTAGTATTATTTATTGTCTGCATCAATACCACGAGTCTACGACAACATCAATGGCAGCATTTTCCGCATTATGACATTATGACCGCAAGTCTACGTTATTACGAAAAAAACGACCATCTCCGTTCGGCTCTCTTTTAGTGTCCATAGTACGTACGGAGTAGTGGTTGTGCTACTCGTACTGTAATGCTCGTGGATATAATCTGTACAAAATACAGAGCCACTGTATCCCAAGCAGGACAGCTAGCTGATGGAACCACTTCTGCTGTGACAGTATATAATCCACTGTCCCCTACCTATTTCCCTCCTCATCTCCGCCATCAGTCTTCTTTTACCTTCTCTCCCCTCCAACCGAAAGAATATGCATGTAAACACCGCTCTCCGTATGACATATTAGCGACATTGATTCGTGGTCCCCGTACTAGCATCGTTGATCTTGTAGGATGTCTTCAAAGTTGACTTTATTTTATTTTATTTTTTATTTTATTTTAATACCCAGCCTTGATTATGTAAAAAACACATGGACCACATATAATAAAGTCGTGATATCGTGAGTATGCCTCGGCACCATCAATCGTGACGAATACTGACCAAGCACCCAAAGGTGACTAGGTCATCGGAAGACTTCGTGACCAGCTCTGCAACCTCCAACCATCCATATTCTCCCCCCCCCTATCCGTCTTGCATTCCATTGGGGGAATCCCATCCCCTTGCTTCCTTCGTGGCAACAGTCGTAATGATGATATCCATCATAGTTCGTTTCTATCCACCACCAGCTTCCGCAACCGCCGAATGCGGTCATACGCTCCATGCCATTGTTACTTGTTGCTCCCTTCATTTGACGTGATGACCCGCTCCGGAGAATCAAAGACAAGAATATAGAGGAGAGGTTCGTTTCATAGCCCCTCAAGCCACGGCAGCATCGCCGCTGACGCTGTATGCCTTGAGGAAGCCGGGGTCGTTTGCGATCTCTTCCTTGACCTGTGACGGGGGTTAGTATGGCTATTCTCCTCCATTGAAGACGAAGAAGAAGGATGAAGCGATGAAGGGAGGCAAAAGGGGCAAAGACAGATGGGAAAAACGCACAATATCCAGACCACCCACGAGCTCTCCGTCGATCCAGAGCTGGGGGAACGTAGGCCAATCGGCAAACTCCTTGAGGCCCTGGCGCACCTCGTCATCGGCGAGGATGTTGAAGAAGCCGTACTTGACCGAGCTCTCGCGCAATATGGCCACCATCTGCCGCGAGAAGCCGCATTGAGGTCCGCTGGGGGTCCCCTTCATGAAGAGCATGACGGGCGCAGCCTTGACTAGGTCTGCCAGGCGCTTGAACAGCTCTTCCTTTTTCTTTGCAGGGTCGACGGGGCCGAAATGATCGACCGACATGTGCTCTGCGGCGGCGGCGTCAGTAGCCGTAGGATCGGACTGGTCGGTGCCGTTGGGTGTGTTGTTGTTGGGGGTGGTCGACGATGGTGCGGCAGCACCGGGGGTACCGGCGTGCGTCTCGATGGCGGCTCGGACCTTTACGGCGCTGCTGCCGCTGACCGTCTCGAGCACCTGGCCGTTGCGGATGAGGACGAGGAAGGGCACGGCCGTGACGTCGTACGCCTCGCTGATGTCGCTGAGCTCCTCGGCGTTGAGGGACACCCACTTGGTAGCGGGAGGCTCGCTGACGGGGTACTCGGAGGCCAGGGTCTCGAGTACCGTCGCCATCTGGGCGCAAGGGGCGGCCCATGGCGCATGGAAGGATGTGATGAGGAGGGTCGTAGGGGGGAGGGAAGCAAGAAGCTGCTCCCACTGCTCCTCGCTCTCAATCTCCGAGATTTTGGACATGGCTGTGTTTCAGTTTAGAGACGAGAAGGAAGGGAGAATGAAAGAAAAATCTGGGAAAGAAAGAACAAAACAATTTTTTTTTTTGGGAGGGGGGGGTGGTAGAGAGAAGATGGGGGAGGCGAAATGGTAAGATCAGATAACGCAAGAGTATGAAAGAGGTTTGCGAAGGAGGGGCGGTGGTCGTGATTTTGGCGGGGCAGAAATGAGAATGTGGTGGTGCCATGGTGCACTGGTGGGCGGCGGCTCCAATGTTGCGGGTTGCCGCGACCCAACCACAGTGAGCGTCTGAGTAATTGCAAGCCTTGCGTCATTTTGGATTTCCGGCTACTCCTTTTTTCGAGACTCTCTCTCTTTCCCTTTGGCTGCCCCTCCATTGCACTGGGTGTTCCCCGAGTTCCCGACAAGCGGTTGCCGGCTCCCCTCCGAGGGCTAATTACGTATCCTGATAGTTGCATACATCACCAAAGAACATGCTAGGTTATACGCATATAGAACCCCCATAGTCGGATGTATGCATAGAAGCATGGACGATTTTTTCCTATACCATGTGCACTGTCAGCCCCGCATTTCCTCTCTACAGTGGCATTGCTGCTGTCTACGGGTAAAAGAGACCACTGAAGGCGGGACTTTAGGCCTGCTGCTGCCCGCTGCTGCCCGCTGCTGCCCGTTGCCTCAGCTGGAGTCCGTTCTGCATCCTGCCCGGTTACGCACGAGTACGTCAGTCCTTCTCCTCCGTAACCCGGGCGCCCACGACGTAAGTAGCTCCAGTAGCTCAGCCTCCTTTTCTCACGCTTCCTGCCCTCTACAACGCCACCCCCGACG